TGAATATCACATTACTCCTGACAATCGTAAAGATAATCATGCATGAATGAATAAATCTTAAGCCCAGCAGTATGACAACAAATTTACAGAACTTATTTGATAAAAACATACATAAATGTTATATTAATAGAAATAGAAATAAAAAGTAAAATGTAAAATTTATGTTTGACAAAATGAGTACAAAGGTTTATGGAATATGCAGACATGGGCTCCTAGTCTGTGCGTCAGACTGAGGTTGCGTAAAGAAAATTTATTATTTGCTAAATTAGAGATAAATGATGAAGGAGATGAGTGCAAGTTAAATGGTATCTTGCTAATATTATAAATCTGAAAGTTTGTGTGTGTGTTTGTGTGTGTGTGTGTGTGTTGCTCAATCACGCATAAACCACTGGACGGATTGGGCTGAAATTTGGCATGATGATAGCTCACATTCCCGATTAACATTAAAGCATATTATTATCCCAAAAATCCTTTCGGGCTCCGCCCCAGTGGCTCTGTAGTTCCCCATGTTAAGCTTATGGTTTTTCATATTTAAAAGGAATTAATGAATCTTAACAGCTGTTTCAATTAAACAAGTTGGTTCTGTTCTATGATGTTCAATAGCATAAAAGTTACAAGGATTACCAACAGGGTGCAGCACTATAATTTTTTTTTTTTATGACAACAGCTAATTTCCAACCAAAAGGTGAGTGAGCGTAGCGAACAAACTTCAACCTGGAGGCGAGTTAGAGTAGCGAACGAGCTAACCTGAAGGCAAGTGAGCGCAGCGAACGAGCTCCAACCTAAAGGTGAGTGAGCGTAGCGAACGAACTTCAACCAGGACGTGAATGAGCCATGCGAATACTTATGAAGTTAAACGGGGCAAAGCCCGCGGGTACAGCTAGTGACAGGAATAAATGTGAGAATGATGAGAAAATCAAATCAACTACAAACAAGTTAATAAATACTCTAAATTAAGTAGAAAAAGTAATATTTGCAACATTTAAGTAATCGGCTGTCAAAGGAGGTTAAAAAAACATCCCAAATATTGCATGCAACGTGTCTAAATAAAATAACTACTAGCAATAGGTGTGAAACAAATCAATTTAAAGACAATAGAGGGAATTTTGAATCCAAATAAATGTCGGAGTTTGGAAACAAGAGAAAATCAAGTTTTACAGTTTAAGAGGAGGGCTGGTTCGGATTGCAATCACTGTTCTGGTCAGATAATTGTTTAACCTCCAATGGAGACAGCCCAGCTGTGGTAAACCTTCAACCAGAAATGATCTGATTGAAACTGGCTAGATCACAACACCAGTGTAAACCTGATAAATTATTTCTAAATATTTAACTAAACAAAGAGTTTTTTTTCTCATAATTGTTACATTACTGCATGCCATTTTAAAACAATGAATATTTTAAATGAAAGGTTTAATCTTTTATAGAAATAGATCATGACTTACTTGAATGAAAGAATGATACCAATAACACGTACTAAGGTTTGCTGCAACAGGGAGTGTAAAAGTGTTTTTTTATGTAAAATGTTAATAGTTAGTAAGAAATAAAAACATTTTCCAAATTTGGGCAAATTAGGTTAATAAACAAGCAAACTACAACAGTTTACTTATTCTCCATAAGAATAACATGGGAATTTTAAATTAAAATTTTTTTGGAATTTTCTCCGTAACCATTAGGCGCATTATAGCGCTTCAATATACTAAATTGTTTGTTTTTTAAGCTCTACAAAATAGTTTGGAAAGAAATTGCAAAATTTTATGTTTTTAGGTCAAAAGTGGGAAAACCCCATTTTTACCCCATAAAACCCCCCATAAACCCCTGTTCCCATGGTCCGATTATGCTGGTTCGCGAACTCGTTCGAATAAACGTAGGTTTACACGTTTGTACCAAATTTCATCAAAATCGGATCAATTTTGCTCGAGTTATCGCGCTAACGGACACATATATAAATATATATATAAATACATATATATGAATTTGAACGGATGGTGTTTTTGGTCTCTGGGGACCTCAAAACAAAAAAGTAAGTCCGTCCCGGGTCTAGGTCTTACCATGAGACCTACGGTAATAGCTTATTCCCTATATGGGAAATTCGCTAAAAGTCAACTGATTGGGAAAAATGTATTCTTTACCAATTATTTTGAATGATGCAGATACGATTGGTTATTGGTAGTACAAATATTTCAATTAATTGTTTATCATGAACTGTAAACACTATAGTTTTAAACAGTGTTATCAACGTAATTACAACCCAATAAATGTAATTCAGCAAGTTGGATTAGAGAGGTATTCTCTTTTAGGTAATCAGAATGTCAGCAACCTTTGGAAATATTTCAGGTAGCAAGGACAAATTAAAGCAATAATTCATATTGGTTTTATCTTGCAATCATTATTGATCAACAAATCACAGCAGGCAATGTTCAGTCATGTAGGCTAATCACTTTGTGAAATTACATTGATATTTTGGAGGTTAGGTTAGATTTTTCCAATGGCTTCATAAGGTGGATACATTGTATTTAGAACTGTTGTGTGAATCTTGTAAAAATCCCCTAGTAGGGACATGATGAAAATAAAGATCAATTTTAGATAACATTTTATTATAAAACATCTTATAAAAACTATATACTTTGTATAGTGTGAACAACAATTAGGGTGGAGGCTCCGGTTATGGCCACCATACCCCTTATGGCCACTTTCATTTTATTGGTCCATTTTTAAGCTTAAACCTGTTTTGAACCAGTAAAAACACAGCTTACTATAAACAGATGACTTTGGGCAACATATTTAGTTGGTAGACATTGTGAATCTAATACATGTGGCTGTGCTGTTAGAAATTTCACCATGTGATGCACAGATTTGTTAAGTTTCTTGTGAAATGCGTTAAGAGTTGTGGCTGTTTCTGAAAATCATAGAAAATTCATCTGAAGCCATAGGAAGGTGAAATTTATTTTCCAGGTAAGAGAAAACTCTGTATTTACTATATGATTGTATTGCAACTCACATAACCTCAAAACAAAATAGATAAGTACCATGGCCATTAGTGGGTCACAATATTCCTGGAGTAACTAGTTATGGCCACTTTGTGGCCATAAGGGGATTCATTCAGTTCCTATTTATGGCCATGTTTTGATGTTGATAGTATTTTAATATGTAATTTTTTGCTGGATAAAATAAATATTGAATGGGCTTTAGAGTAGCTTTTTCATAAAGCCTGTAAGTAAATCCACAAACAAAACCAGGCCTAGGCCTTCTTATTAATCTAAGATTTTTTTTTATCACAATTTTATTTACAATCTGTTCATTTTTAGAACATTTAGCAAATACAATAACAACTTTTAATAAAACGTTAGTTAATCTCTGTCCATTGACAGAGTTAACTTAAAAATATTTCAATGAAAAAATAAATATGTAAATAAACAAGGGAAAATTAAATTGTTCAAACAAAACGTGTGCTTGGATCCAAAACATGAATCCTTTTTAGCCTGTATATACTGGTGCTGTTGTCCAAGAGGTTTAGAGCCAGGTGATTAGGGTGATTTTCAAGTTTCTTTAGATATTTTGCACTAAATTTGGTTATTTAGTGCAAAATATCTAAAGAAACTTGAAAATCACCCTAATCACCTGGCTCTAAACCTCTTGGACAACAGCTAGTAAAAATATAGCATACCATAATACTATAGAAATAAATTGTCTTAACAAAGTTTTATAGTTTAGCCTATGCTTAATAAGGCCCTATTAATTTTTTTAAAGTATTTATCAACTCAGCCACATTTGCTAAATAATTTAAATCTGTATCTAGGCCTATCTGAAAAAAAGTTTTTTATTAGGCCTAGAATATATTAAATCCTTACAACCCTTTAAGATAATATTACTTTTTTCAGGAACATGGCTTCAAGAATCAATCGTAAGGGTGGAACAGATAAAATTACTAAGAAGAAGAAGCGTTTTCAATACTCCCCTTCGAAAGTGGCCAGAGCCCTGGAGGCAGTAAAAGATGGAATGCAAGTAAGCAATTTAATGTCCCAAGGACAACTCTGAGAAACAAATTGTCTCACATTTCCCCAGCTGAATCTACAGGACACTGTGGACCTCACTCTGTGTTAGGTAAAGATGTGGAAGAAATGTTGGTTCAGTGGATCATTGATTGTGCTAATATGGTATTTCCAGTGAATAAGGAAGATTTATGTTCTTCAGTGAAAACCCTGTTGGATGAAGGAAATGTCAAGGAGAACTTGTTTTTTAATAACCGGCCTGGGAAAAATGGTATTATTCTTTTCTAAAGCGGCATCCTACCATTTCCCAAAAACATGCTGAGTATGTCAACCGAGCTAGGGGTGCAGTAACTGAAGATAAGGGTGATTTTGTTTTAGCTAAATTTTCTCTCACAGGAAAAAAATTTCTTCGAGTGACAGAATATAAATATGTTGGTGTAATTTTGAAAAAAATATCAAATTCTGAATTTGAAATTCAGTGTCTGAAATGCGTTGACTCAATGAAGACCCGATTTGTAATAATTGAGAATGATGTATCACAAATAAATATTTCGAACATTATCGGTAAACTGCCAGAGCCAAGCCTTAAAGAACATGGTCGATTGTTGTTAAATGTATTTCCAGGAGCAGTGAAAACAGTGGAAAAACACTATAAGACTATGATAATGTTCTATCTTACTTTGTCATTATTTCTTGAGAATCTATATTATACATGGAAACATTTTGTACAAATTTTATACGCTGTAATTTTTCTTACAGTCTTTAAGAAGAAAGGAAAACCCTTATACCAAGTCTTGTAGTTTTTTATAAATAAAGTATTAAAACATTGTTTGTGTTTTTAATAAATTAACCTTAATTTGTAAGCCTATTTGAATATTTAGATTGAGTGGCCATAAGTGGGGAAAGGTATGGCCATAACCAAGCACTAGGTGGCCAAAACTGGAGAAATAGGTATTATTTTTTACAAAAATGTAAAAAAAAAAATTTTAAACAATAGTTAGTTTTTCAACATGTGAAATGAGTTGTTAAAAGTTCAAATTACTAGAATAAGCATTTAAATCAGTAATAGAGGCAATATCTTTTGCAATAGTAAGTAACAAAATAAAGGAAATGCTTAAGGTGGCCATAACTGGTGCCTCCACCCTAAACCTTCTGTGCAGTACAGTTATCATACAAAACAACAAACAGTAAATAACGTATATAATATAGAATGCAATAAATAATAATACAATTCACCATCCACTTTTGCTAAAATAAAATTTCACTTAACTAACCAAACTCGAAATGGTGAGATAAAAAACTGTCACCATAACAGCGTTAAGTTTGAGTTTTTTACAGAACGCAGTGGGCAGTACTGGTAAGATTCGGAAATAAGATATTTTATTGGCAAACAAATACAATACTTAAATACTTTAAAAAACCATTGAACATTTCATTTCTATTATCTTGACAGAAACGAAACCCAGATACAAGAAACTGTTTACTACTGTAAATAGAATTATACAATACAAATTCATTCGTTTGCTGTATTGATTGTTCAGTTATAATTAGTATAAAATAATACTGTGGGTTATACGCTACCGGTATCTTTGGTAATTACAAGAAAAATCTGAAATACAACATATTATTTCACTGTAATTGGTGTATATGATTGAACAGGTATACAATTAAATTAGTTTTAAACAATAATTGTCAGAATTCTTTGCTTATAATGGAATGTTGTAAGAGATTAAGGTGTTTATCTTCAACTTTTACCTATAGTTAAACCACCAAGAAGTAACATATCATTATTGTATTAAAAGTTGGTGTCAGTTTTTCTATTAAAACCCTTTCCAAAGCTACAAGTTGAATACTGAGATTTTAAATGACGTACTAACAACTTCTTAAAAAAACTCAAAAGGCAACTTACTGTAATATATGTATCTTCTATAGCCACAACTTAACACGTTCGCTGCGCCATTTAGCTTATTAAACGACCTTACACCCTAAAATATATTATAACATAATAACATACCTTATGATGGCAAAAGAGTTTCCTATGCATGAGAACTGCTTCCCAACATATTTTGTTAATTTAGTGCCATTTAAAAAAGTGACACACCGGTGAGTGCTCACCTTCTGGGGCACGCTCGCACTAGCCCACCGAAGCAAAGATGGATTGTTTCCCCTATGGCATTCACGTGTAAGTTTTTATCTCAGTATTATTCACATGATTATTTTATAAAAAAAGAATAAAATGTAAAAATATAAAATATATACAATTTTAACAGTTTCTTAATGGTCAGAATTTTACTGTTTGTGCGTGTCAAAGCACTCGCCAGGACAGAGTTTGCTTTTTGACCTGGACAAGTCTTGCACACGTTTTTGGTATTTTTCTTGTCTTGTATCTGGTGTTGACATGACAGTTCTTACTCTGGAACCAATTGGGATCATTCGGCAATGGTATAAAGCACCGACAGCGAGTGTGGAGTGCAGGGTTGCCACGCGTCCTGATTTTGGTTCCTCGTGCCCGTATTTAAGCCTATGTTAATCCAGGAGGGAGGGGGGCAATGTCTCGATTTATCCCTGACATAAGGTGGCAACCCTGGTGGGGTGGCACGACTGGCAGAGACCCTGTGGGTTTTGGCAACAAACTTTCTAAAACATTCATGTGGAAGACGAAGAATGACAAGCTTGCTTGGTTCATTTAATATATATTGTGCAGAGTGTGAGAGTTCAGAATTTGAGAAGATTTCGTCCAATAACAGATTGAAAAACTCAATAGGCCTAACTTAACCACGTAAAGGCACAAGGATTTTTTCTTCTCTAATAAATTCAACCTGTCTCAAGACTGCAGTGATAAAACACTATACAGGAGGATTAGAATCGGGGTTGAAATCTGCCTCAGAATCCCTCAGGAATCGAATAGTTCTTCCCTAGAGGCGTTTGGTTCCTTCACTGAGCAAAGAGACACATCAGAGTCACTGCCGATGTCATCATCTGACTGCAATGCAGCCTGGGAAGTTGAAGCAATTATAACACAATTAAACAGACCATAAACAGATATATGGCATAAAAATAATAAACGCAAAATTGAAAATTTAATTAGGGCCTACACCAACTGTAAAAAAATATAGGTAGGCTAAAGAAATCCACAAACAGTTTGCACAGGAAACAGAGAGGCTATAACACGGACAAAAATTCTCCCTGCTAAATGAAATAGACGTGGTATTGACACTCACCGGTGCGCACACAGAGAGGCGGAACTAGAGCACTCACTTTTGAAGCGACCTGCAGCAAACGTGTTAAGAGTAGTTATGTAAACTATCGAAACCGGAAAAATAACTTACATCTTAGGCGGGTTACACACCGGTATCTCCGACATAATGTCGCCGATATTTATCGTGCTGGCAACATGCCTCTCGAAAACCAACCTATGTTAACTTATGAAGACATACACACCAGTGTCGCAGGCGCGTGTCTCGAGCGAACCAACTGGTCGGTGTTTGGACAGACATGTCTCTTGTCTCTTGGGCCCGAGTATGCGCAGAACACGTTTCTAGTATATTGACAGTATATTGACAGCCTTTCTTCAATGCTAATTGATTTCCGATTGTTATTATCCTCGATGCTACATTTATAGCATTTTAACATTTTACATTTTACATTTTTTACATTTAACATTTTTTATTTACATTTTAAGCTTTTCAGGGGGTTGAAACAACTGTCTTGTCTAAGTAAGTTTACTGGACAACTGATTGTCTTTCCAATAAGGATGGGTCCAGAATTCTCTTCGAACATGTATTCTTCGTCGTCGTCGTCGTCTTCTTCTCCTCAACCCCAACAGCAACAACACATCATCTTCTTCTGACGATGACATTATTGAAACTGATGAATTTTGTGATTCTTTCACATTCATGTCGCCAGCACGTGCCTCTTCCCATGGTTGCATTTTATTATATGTCGCAGATATCATACCCGCGACATCAGAAATATCAGCGACATTATGTCTGCGATCGATACCGGTGTGTAAACCGCCTTAAACATATTAAATCAATGTTAGAGAATCAGTCAACTATGTTCTCTGGATACTGTTGGTCATAATACACCAGGGGTGTAGGGGTGTCTACTTCAGTATACTAAGTGGATGTTTAAACCAAAAGAACACTTCAATTTTTAATTTTATTAATTTTTATGAAAGATTTGAGTGCTGCTACCTATACAATTATTGTAATTTTGTGCTCGTGAAATAATCTTATTCTTAAGCAAATTAACATTCACTCCTTAACTTTAACCATCTGGACTAAATGCTCTTTATTTTATTTAGAGCTAGTAAAAAAAGGAATGGTTATGAAGAGAAACAAGCCAGGTCAGGTGATTACTGAGTAGAAGTAAACAACCAGCTGGCATTCTTCTGGTTTCTAAAGCTGAATTTAAAAACCATTAGCTCTTTTTAATAAAATGTGTTCAGCTGTTTAGTGTTGTTATAAATATTTACAAAGAAAATATAACTGTTAACTCTTAACCAGTTAAGAATGAACAATGTAAAATGTCATTTTCATGATCAAACATTATGTGATCACATTAGCTACTTACTGTTAGCCTGTGGGCTAATAAATAATTTTCTGCAACTCAAACTATGAAGTAATACTGATTTGTTCACAATCTCAGCTGTTTTGGGCCGCTAGATTGATCCTTTCCACCAGCTGGTCAATCATTGGTTGTAAGTCACAGAGTGTTCCATTATTTTCTATGACAACGTCCCATTCTTTGATCGTGTCCAAGTCACACTCTGTTTCCTGATCGTCAATACCTGAAAATTATCATTGATTAGTTAAGTTTTAATAAATAACTAGTGTACATGTTGCTCGAAATCGAGCAATTGCAAAGAAGTAAAGTAGTTATTTAATAAACAAATAACTTATTTAAATACCTGTAATAAAAGTCGTGATTTCAGATGAGTTTAAAAGACTCAACTCATAGATTACGTACTAAACAGTTCCATATAATCAACATTTCTTGTAAATATTTTATCATTTTTCAAAAGCTGATCGCTGATCTGGTTTTTTAGTGTATTCAACAAATATTTCCCACTTATAGCAGGTTCTCCATGTTGATCTTCGTCAATGATAATGTAGTCTGCATGGTACTACCCATTGCCGCCAGTACGTTTACAAATTTCAGTAATTTTTTTTATAGCGATAACATTTTGTTTACATTACTTAAGAACTGCCTGATTTTCTGCATAACCTCTCTATCACAATTATTGTATTTGCTTCAATTGGCAATAATTTGGCTAGTTACTGTTATAACGTAAGTTATATCATCGAGTTAACATGTATACTCAATTATATACGTGTGGCCTTTCGATTCTGCATTTTTTCAGGTAAATGTAACCATTGAAAAAATTCAGAATTGAAAGGCCTAATGTTGTTCAGATGGTTTTTTGTTTCCCTTAATTGTGAATAATGCAAATCCTTCAATAAAAATTTTATTAAGGTTTCTTGGATGTAGTCCATATATTATTAAAATCACTTGACTTTCATGAAAACATATATTTAAAGTCCTTGCCGTACCAGTTTAATTTGAAGCCTTAGAGTGTTTTCCTTTGCCAATCATCATAAAGCTAAGTCCGTGTTTCCTACAAAATAGTAACACCTCGGCTAACATCCTTGTTCATTGTTTGTGGGAATCTTCATATTGTATGTGTTTTTCATTATATAGGAGGTAAAATATATCAAATTGCCCAGGCTTTCTCGATTTTTTACATTGTAAATTAAAAGTAAATGTACCCAATGTGTTTCGGTGAATTGAAAAATAAAAAACAGCAATTAAAATATACAGCTGATCAAAATGTAAACAATTATGTTCTTCATAATGTGTTTGGGTGACCGAAGTTAATGTAATAAGACTAATAAGTTAAGTTAAAGAATTACTTTTCAAAACTTCTATTGACAACAGCATGCAGTAGGGCCTACTGGATACAACTAAGTAGGGTAGTAGGCCTAAGACTAATAAATAGTTTAAGATTAAACATTAAATAATATTCTGAAGAAACACTTGTACCAGAAGTGAATACCCATCCTCTTTTCTGCCTTTCGTCTTCAGTAGAAGAGACTCTTACTGTAACAATGTTTTTATAATTCTCTCTGAACCACTGAAGATCCGTTCGCCTTCTCATATCCGTAACTATCCATACAGGCTTTTTCATTGCTGAAATGTGAAGCAAATACCGGTTACTGTATTAATGTTTGCAAAACCAATAAAAAGGATGACTTAAAATATGAACCATTTTTCCAAGGATTGATTTGTAAGGGTGTGCAATCACAACAATTGAGAGGGGTTCTTTAAAATAATGCAACCATTTTCAAGTAAAAAACTGTAAAAAATAGAGTGATTGATTTTAAACAAATAAAAATAGAAAATTATACAGAAGATTCTCAATTATCTGTCCTACATTGGGACGACATAAATGGATAAGAAAAAAGGGTTAACACCACAAAGAATTAAAACCATTGTAAAATGTTAAGAATGTTATTTTAAACTTTAAAATTACATGTCTGATACCAACGTAATTTAAGCCTACCAATGGTTTTTATTTTACAGCCAACATGACAGATTTATAAAATTAAAACACCACTTCCGTAACAACAGTTAATATACAACACAGTAATACAGCAATAATTATCCTCTGATCCACGAGTCTCCTTTTGCACTGAGACGGAAGGGGTAGCAGAGAAAAATTGAGGTGAGTTACGAACAGTGTGGTGTCCTAAATATTAATGTTGGTATGCAGGGTGCAACAATTAGGGCTACAAAGTAAAAGTTTGGATGCAGACAGAAGTGCCTTAATCGGATGGTTCTAAGCACCATCTACTAAATACAGCCATGTAAAACAGAAATAGTGTGTATTTATTAAAAACGAGATAACCAATTAGTAAAAAAGGAACAATTAAATAAAGCAGTATTTTTTAAGGTTATTCCGTTTTCCCCTCATTAAATAGTTTCCGTACAATAAATATGATGACTAAACATTGAATGAAAAGAAAAAGCTTTCTTACCACCCGACATGTCAACAGCTGCTCTGCAAAAGTAACCGTTATCCGAGTTTCTTATGTCTTCACTCCACTTTATCATCTCTAGTCTATATTGCTCCTTATAATCTCCTGTCCCCATCAGTTGATCAAAGTCCAACCCTTGGCTGTTTGCAAAATGTGACTTAATTGGAGCCGACAGCTTTATATTTACTGCAACATCTTTAACTCTGAAAAAAATTTATCATAATTTTCAACATTACCGGTACTTATTAATTGGCAAAAATGATTGTATCAAAAACCTAATTCCTTTTATATTTTCATTAACCATAAAGTTCTGAATGTTGACATTTAAACTAATCTGGTAGGCCTAAATCCACTTAGTTAATCCAATTATTTCTCATGCAATCCAACGAAAGACTTGTTAGGGTCGTAGAAACAAGGTGTACCTGTGAAATAACAAGACTGGTTTTCTCAGAGACAATCTGCATAAAAAGCAAAAAATTAATAAATTAAAACATCATGTCACTTAACAAAGAGTAGGCCTAGGCCTAGGCCTAACTTAGGCCTACTAGTAAAATAATTAAAAAAATTTATATTTTATGCAAAGAGTTTTAAATTAAAACACATTTTGGCAAGCTTCCTAAACAATTAAACTATTCACGGAACTAAAGACATTTTTAATCGGGAATAGAGCATTAACTTATTGTGTGTTTAGATTTAACTAAATCTAGCATCTAGCTTTAGAATCGTTTGTTTAGGGACACATTTCAGGTCTTATAATCTTGACTTAAAAAGGGGACCAGCCACCCTTCTTCTTGGCAGATCAGACTAGCCTACGTAAAATGACTTAAGTAACTTAACTTAGGTAGGCCTACTTAGGCTAGGGATGAGCATCGATAGTCAATATTTTCAAAACATCAATGTTTTTCTATCGATGTTTGATGTTATTTACATCGATGGTAGAGTACCGATGTTTTTGTTAAATTACATTGAGGTTTTTGTCAAACATCGATGTTTTGGACAAGTAGGTACCGGTATTGAAGTATCGATGTTTTTCATGACTGAATTGTAGGCCTATTAGTTTGCAGTACAGAGAGCAGAAAAAAAACTGGAAAAAAACATCAAGTAACTTAACACTGATGTTTTAAGCTAATCTATGTTTTCTTAACAATGTTATCAGTAAGTTAAGCTACATCGATGGATGACCTCGATGCTCATACCTAAGTTATTAGGCCTAGGTAGATAAGAAGCAACGGTACCAAATTAATGGATAAATGTTAAACCAAACAAATCAAGTGGATATCAAGTGGGCCTATCGGTAGTCCGGTAGGCCTACTTAAGTAATTACCTTTCATATAATATGTCCGTAACAGTGTCCTTTCCTGATTTCCGCTTTCCACTAAATAGTAAAATTAGTTTAGGCACTTCTAAGCACATGTCAAAATAATTTCCTGAGTCAAGGCCTAGCAAGACTGTTAACTTTTATAATTTGCAAGACTTTCTCAAATTTACAATGTCTGAATAAGTTAACAAATTTAAAGAGTGGAAGCAAACAGCATGTTTTTTATGTGAAGTAACGTTAGTAAACTATAGCAATTGCACTAAATTTAACTATGGCACAAATACAAATTGCATGTTTAGTTATCCTCCACAAAATAACGTTTTTAAAATAGAGATGTGTCGCTGCAGCTGGAACTAGGGAACTACATTTATCCACCGTTCCAAGCGGAACCACAATCCAGTTCCAACTACTTTTTCAGCTGCAGCTCGGTGGAACGATTTGAATGTAGTTCCGCACAAACAGCTGCAGCCTTTTTGTAAATTTTTAAAGATAAGTTCCGGAGTAACTGGATTTGTAAAACACATACAGTTACAACAAAACAGCTGCAGCTGGTTTATTAATACTCTCACTAAACATTAAGTTCTAGCCTGATGCGTTTTGACTTATTTGGTCTATTGTAAACAAAGTTTTGATTAGCGGATATGGTTGACATGCCTTAAAAGAAATTAATCATTTTCTGTTTTTTTTTTATTTTTTCAGGCAGGAATTAAATAAAAGTACATAGTCCCAGTTAAGTCGTGCTCATAATATATACAAATTTAATTATCTCTTCCTCAGTAATCAGTACCGTAATAATTGTTTGTGTTTAACTTAATTCAGGATTTTTTCGCTATTAACTTTAGAATTTTATATTAAGAGTTAGTGTAAGTGGTGTTTGAATAATATTATTTTAACAATAAAAAAAATTATAATATGAATAAATGCATAATATGAAGAATCTCTAAAAAATTTATACCGGCCTTGTCACGTATTATTTTAGACCCTAGATAGACAAACTAAAATAATTAATTACTTGTACAACATTTCCAAAACACGATATTGATTTATTTACAGCCGCTATTTTGCATTATTTAAAACAATATTCTAATTCAAGAACAGCTTAAACTAATCCGTCTCAAATTATGGCAATAAACTGAGATTTTGTTCATCCTTCTGCCTCGTTCCACTACAGCCATAGCTCCGCTGCAGCGGGAAAACCAGCTGCAGCGGGCAAAACCAGCTGCAGCTGGAACTGCTTTTGGAACGAGTTCCACGGCGACCTTGGAACTAGCTGCAGCTGTTTCGCCCAAGTAACTGCTTGGCACATCTCTATTTTAAAACAAACAAATTATAGGTTAGAAATAACCTCAAACAGAATAATCTAATCAATCACCCACCAGCGGCAGCACCAGCATTCATTTTTTTTCCTAAATGTCACAAGTGTGATGGCCTTGATTAAAATTCATGAGGCCCCAATGTTCACTTTTTGTGGTTATCCGTCTTTTTCTTAGTTTATTTGATATTAATCGGGAGAATGGTGTTGACACTTTAATTTTGTTATTTACATACATAAATGTTGACAATGAGCTATGATTTGTTCTGATATTTTTGTTAATAATAAAGAAAGGATCTCTTTAAGGAAAATTGATGTAGATGGGTATCTGGGAGGGAGGGAAAAGGTTTAGTCTTCCCTGCCTGGGCCGATCAGGCAATGTCCTAACCCGAAAAATGTGGGCCTTGGATGAAGAAACCCAGGATTGGACAAACATTCATGTGAAATTTGAGTGAAAGTTATGTGTTTGTTTCTAGATCTTTCGACCGATAGAATGAAGGAATTTGTTTAGTTCGAGATAAATGTCGTGATCATTTGTGCTGACAACTTTATTTATTTCCATCGTAAAGTTTTTACTGGTTCTTTTGGTCTTTTTAAGATGCTGGTCTCTATCTAAGCTGTATTTTGGGCATTGCATGAATATGTGGTTTAAGGTCTCCTCCACTCCTAAGGTACAATTCAGGCATAGTGGGGAAAAGTAACATTTCATTTTATAGAGGCATGAGTTTATATTAGCATGTCCTAGCCTTATCCTGCAAATGTTAACTATTTCATTTCTGTTCATATTAGAATCTTTGAACCATGGAAATTTTGAAATGTTGTTGTTTATGGTCTTGTACCACTTTGCTTTATTAGATGACAGAGCTATATTGTTCAAATGTTCAAAGTAAAAATATTTTTGATATGATATGAAATCTGATTTGGTTGTATAAAATTCATATGTTGATTCATCTATGAGAGTTGATTATTTTGCCAAAGTGTCAGCTATTTCATTTTCTCTTACCCCAACGTGTCCGGGTACCCATTGAAATGTGAATTTTATATAAGGAACGTTCATTGCCTTCATTCACGATTCTAAAAATGTAAACAACAATAATGGAAAATGGAATGGAGTACAAGAAGAAGACGGCAATCCGAAAAATCAGGATGAACAACGGTTACTAAAACAGAAACTGATGATCATTATCATAGACAAATGACGTCAAAGGCCCGAATGTTTTTCTTGTTTTTATTTATTTAACATATTATAAAGATTCGATACTAGTTGTAAAGCCAGCATTTTACCACCACTATGCCTGGATAAGGGAGGTGAATGATTATACCAATGACTAACCAACTCCATACGTATGCGTTATCCATTATATCTTAATAAACGTAAAACTTACATGGTTATTTTAATTTATGCTGTCCACATAACATTTTTAAATGCGCTTAAAATCAGCTGCTCTTTTGATTAATTTATCACATTTACCTTTGTTATATTAACAACAAAGGTAAATCTATATATATAAAAGGCAAAGCCCTCACTGACTGACTGACTGACTGACTGACTGACTGACTCACTCACTCACTCATCACTAATTCTCCCACTTCCCACTTACCTAGGAGGCTGAAATTTGGTACACTGATTCTTTAGGCATTAAATAGGAAAACTAAGTGGTTTTTATTCTGATCGGACTCTCGGGCTCCTCCCCAGTGGCTCTGGAGTTTCCCATATCAACCTAATGAGTACTCATATTTAAATGGAATTAATGAATCATAACAGCTGTTTCAATTAAACAAGTTGGTTCTGTTCTATTATGTTCAATAGCATTAAAGTTACAAGGATTACCAACAGAGTGCAGTGATTCAACCAGGACGTGTGAGCGCAGCGAGCGAGCTCCAACCTAAAGGTGAGTGAGCGTAGCGAACGAACTTCAATCAGGACGTGATTGAGCCATGTTAAACGGGGCAAAGCCCGCGGGTACAGCTAGTCTAATATAATTCATCAAGTTCTTGAAACTTAGGATAGCAAAAAAGGAACTCTTATCACGTTAATGTTTATGTTACATCTGAGAGCAAGCTGACCTACTGGTACAGCGTGGGACCATAGAAAACACTACCTTAGTAGATTTCCCATCCCTTACCACACACTACCAGACCAGCAGACCTCCACTATTTTTGTCTAGTCTGTGAGTGTGTAGCGCTGTCTGTCAGACGGCCGACCGTCGTGACAGTCTTCATCCATTAATTTGTTCGTTGGAGCTCTCACCGCACGGTGTCTCAATTACGAATGTTGTAATGTCTGGTCTGGCAGTGTGTAGAGCCGTCCAAGACGGTCTGGTTGCACCCAGAACGATATAATCATAAACTATAACGCACCCTCTAATTATATAACCAAACAGTAAAACAAAAATCATGAAATTAACTCTAAAATAATATAAACAAAATTTCGTCAACCCTAGCCTCTAGTGTCACTTTTGATATGAACTATATTATGAACTATATTAGACACGATAAGCGAGGTTCAAAATTTACAATGGGATGGGAAGTCTACTTTGTGTTGGTTAGTTTATGCATAGGAGTATGTTTTATCAGGTCTATAGTGGGACTTAAGTCCCTCAGGTTACGGATTCAAATTCCACAAACATCTGCCAACTACGTATGGATTTTTGTTATGTGATAATTCCGCGACCATGCTGGAATTTCTACTCTAACCCTACTACCCTACTCTTTTACTCTAAGTAATATGTGGAAAACTATTCCGATCTAGATTAGCGCCTCAAGATGTGTAGATGGGAAAAGGAATTCTCCCACCTCAGCAAATTTGCAGACTACTAAGCTCATTTCCATTTGCCTGGATGGATTTACACTCAAATATGCCTCCTTAAAAATATCACATTTAATCCCCATTAAAAAATAATTAATTTAACAAGTACTTAGGTTTGCTGCAACAGGGAGGGAAAAAGAGCGTTTTCTTTTCAAATATTAATAGTTTATTAAGATATGAATGCATTTTCCAAATATGATCAAAATATGTTCATAAACAAGCAAACTACAACAGTTTACTTATTCTGCATAAGAATAACATGGGGATTTTAAATTTACAATTTGTTGGAATTTTCTCCGTAACCAATATAGGTGCACAATAACGCTTCGTTAATACCGGTACTAAATTATTTGTTTTTTAAGCTCTACAAAAATGGTTTGGAAAGAAATTGTTAAATTTTGCGTTTTTAGGGTCAAAAATAGGAAAAACTTACTTTCACCCCATAAAATCCCCATAACCCCCCCCCTTACCATAATCCGGTCATGCTGGTTCGCGAACTCGTTTGAATAAATGAAGGCTTACCAGTACACGTTTATACCAATTTTCATCAAAATCGGATCATTTTTGCTCTAGTTATCGTGCTAACGCAACGGATACACACGCATATATATATATAATATGAATTTGAACTAATGGTGTTTTTGGCCACTAGGGACCAAAACGAAAAAGTAAATCGGTCTGGGGTCTAGGTTTTATCATGAGTACTACAGTAAAAGCCTCCCTATAAGGAAAATTTGCTAAAAGGTTGTCTCACTATCACGAATATAGTTAAAGGGTAAAAAAATGGCACACATTGAACCCAAATTTTCATTACCTACCGTTATTGGTGAAATTAGAGGTATAGTTGAAATATCCACATATTAAAAAAAACTTCCGAAAAATGTCAAAGGAAGACCCCTACTTCTCCACCAAATTAAAAAGAGTAACTCCTTTGTCTTTAGGAAGAAAACAAGGATTTCGGGGGAATGATTCAGTTGTAGTTTTGCCATGTCGTAGGGTATAGATTTTTGTAACGTTCTAAAATGTGATTTTTTTTGTTTGAGTTTTAGGTACACGTGGTGTCTAGCTAGTGATGGTGTACTGGGGGAAAGTATCGCACCGTCCCCTCGCCAATATATATATATGTACTACAACGCTCGCAGAGGATATGAGAAAGGCCCTGTGCGATAGGAATTTCCATACTGTGCTGTGCTGTACTT